ACTGACCTCACCAGGATAGGGCAAGGCTGATCACGAAATCTGCCACTTTGCATAAACTTGGTCTCATCCACCTATTCGCTGAGGTTTCGGCAAACGATCCGCCTGGGTTCTGGCACACAGAGCAATCGAGTACGGGACCAGCAATCGCGCAACTTGGTACTTTGGGGTCGTTTGCAACCATGTTAAGAGGAATGGGCTCTGCGATCCCTGTAGACAGGCATCTCAGTTCGGTTAACATGCTTACTACTTTAAGTACATTGAAATGAGTAGATATATAGACGATAACTTGAGTCTATTCTGTCCATATTGAATTTGTTTAACAGACTTCCTGTTTGGCACATTTGTCAGACGGGTGCATATATATATATATATATATATATATATATATATATATATTAGGGAAATACCACTAGGTCGGCCGCATGATAACATTTCTTAATAGATTGGCAGAGACGATGCCGACATCACCCTGGTCATCTTTAAATGGCAGCGCAATGAATACTTTTCTTAGGAATAAAAGTTTATGGTTTCTCTTTTGGTTGAGTTCGAGTGTCGTGCTGAGCTTCTTAATTTATTCGTACTCTCGTAACACCGAGGTCATACGTTGCAGTTCACTTTTAGTCGTTTCTGGGGAACGAATGTGACGAGCTCTGGCGAAACTGCTACGGGCTAAAGCTCGTTTATAGTTCATCGGACAGAAACTACTACGATTGTGATATTGTCTTATTCACATTTTTCCTGTATACAGACCAAAGGAGTGTACCATCTGAGTTCCACTAGGTTAGCATAAAATAATTAGTAGATGCTGTCGGGTTCATTTTCAATGGCGAATTCGATCGTGGCTTAGTACTTGTTCGGCATGTCTACTAACTGCGCAGCCTGTGAAGCAGTCAATATATGTCCATATGGCGGCTATAAAAGGGCATATTTTGCAACTTAGGACGTAGTCTGTTATTTTCCAGGTGACAAAGATATTTGATAACATTGGCCCAAGTGGACTACCCATGGTCTCTTCAAACAACAACCCGGCTTGACTTTTGCCAACATCATTGGCAGACCTGTAGCCTTAAGGATCACAAGCCTGCCTTGTAATCCGAAGGCGCGGGTTCGAGTCTGCTTAAGAGCCGGGTGACCATAGCAGTATCCTTTAGCCCACGTGCGACTGTTGGTGCTTGCGCGGCAGCGAAGTGTCGGTACTGCGTACCGGCGTACTATTGATGCCTTTATGTTATTTCTTTGCTAACATCATTAGGAGGGGACAACACACCAAAAATCTCAAACATCAGTTACCGGCTTAATAGCCGGGCAAGCATCTGCATTGCTCACAGTTGAATTCCCGATAGTTCTGTTACAGACCTTTTACTGTTTTGCATATATGAAAATATCATGGATTATCTTTTCGAAGACCCCTGCTGTATTTCGACAGTCTACCTAAAGCTCGTCAGTATTGCGGAAAGGTCCGCTTTATGGAACTTGCTTTTCAGCACCAATGTATACCAATTATTGCTTTTCGTGGCTCTGCGGTTACGGTAGAAGCATCGGACCACTCACAAAGCAGCATGCTATTGAGGTACGCGACCTATTTTTTCAACCCCCCAATTCTCGGCCCTCCCCCACCTTGCTTCAATAGTCGCTTGTCTTTTAGTTTCAACTCACAGGTGAACGCAGAGCGTCATTCCTGCCCTGTCAACAGGCCCATGTCCAAGCAAGCGGCCCATTCCAGTTCATCGGCTTCCATTTGGAGCCCTCGATCCTCCTTCAGACTGGTATGCCTCAATGTTCGCACATTGCTTCAGATCGGTCAACAGGCAGCACTTGCCCGAACATTGGAGACCCTCTCGATCGATATCTGCTGCTTATCGGAGACCCGCCTGCAAGACTCGAGCTCTGTACTCACTCTGCGATCCCCTTCAGGTGACACTAGCAACACTTTCTCATTGCGCCTATCCGGTGACGATTCAGCTTCGAGCACCAGCCAAGTTGGTGTTGGTATTGCCCTTAGTCCCCGGGCTGAGGCTGCTCTGGTTGATTGGATTCCAATCAGTAGCCGGATGTGTGCGGTCCGATTGGCTGGCTCGTTGAAAGCTTCGAAGTCGCGTGGGACTAACAGGTGTCTATTCGTTATCGCTGCCTATGCACTGACAAACTGTAGCGATGACTCGGTAAAAGACGACTTCTATCGCCAGCTGAACGAACTCCTTCGCCACAGAAGAAGCTCGGACACTGTAGTGCTGGCTGGGGATCTGAACGCTCAAGTTGGAAAATTATCCTCAGATGAGCTGCATCTGGGCGGCCAACATGGTATAGGCTCCCGTAATGATAACGGTGAGCGGTTACTTCATTTGTGTGAGGACGCTCGCTTATTTCTTGCGAGCACTAATTTCCGACACAGCACCCGCCGGAGGGTGACTTGGCGCCCACCAACCTCGAACCAGCTATGGACGCAAATCGATCACATTGCTATCAGTTACCGCTGGAGAGGCTGCGTCCAGAACTGTCGCTTGATTTAGAGCACAGGTGTTGACACCGATCATGCACTTGTATGTGCTGACCTGCGGATGCGCTTTTGCGGACGCCCGCGACGATGTTGTATGCGCATTGACACCGGCAGACTGGTGAATCCAGCTGTTCTGAACGCCTATCAAATTACGCTGTCATCCGAGTTGGATAAACGCTCACTGGATGCAATTGAAGCTCACTGGTCTCATATGCAACAGGCCTTAATAGCAGCAGGAAAATCCTCATGTGGTATGTCTAATCGCCAACATGAACATTGGGTCTCTTCACAGTCTTTGGAACTTATAGATGCTCGCCGGCATATTCCGGCTGGAAGCGAACACAATGAAACTCGCAAAGAGCTCCGGGCAAAACTCCGTGCTAGCCTGAAGAGAGACCGCGAATCCTGGTGGTCTCGTCGTGCAACAGAGATGGAAATGGCCGCTGCCCTTGGTAACCATCGTGAGTTATTCCGTCATACGGGAAACGGGCAGCAGGAGACCTGGTGTTAGTGAAACTATACGTGACGAGTGGACAGCCTATCCACAACTTATCAAAACGCCTGGAACGTTGGGCTGAGCACTTTGAAAAGCAATTTAATCGGTCGGAATTGTTAGATTTCTCGCCTACCAGTGATCGCCCTGCTCCGTGGGCTGTTCCTTTGGATCCACCCTCTCGCTCAGAAGTCGAACATGAGATCAAACTGTTGAAGTTAAATAAGGCCGCGGGACCAGATGATCTTCCTCCAGCCCTCTTCAAATTCGGGGGACCTGCTCTTGTGGATGATTTACACGAGTTACTAGTGAGACTGTGGGAGCAGGAAACTGTCCCAACCGATTGGAGCCGCTCCATCATAGTCCCAATTTTCAAAGGAGGCTCACGATCGGAATGTGGCAGCCATAGAGGAATCAGTCTGATCTCCATCGCCTCCAAATTGCTTGCCTCTGTCATCCTTCACAGACTGACTAGCACTCGTGAAAGCCAGATTCGTGAAGAGCAAGCTGGATTTCGTCGAGGTCGTAGCTGCATTGACCACATCTTCACCTTGCGTCAGTTGTTGGAGCACCGTCACATATATTGGCGGCCCACCGTTGTCGTGTTCCTCGATATCAAAGGTGCATTCGATTCGGTGGATAGACATGCACTTTGGGACTGTCTACTCAGGAAAGGTGTACCTGAGAAATATGTGAATAATATCCGAGCATTATATGCGCGTAGCTCGGGCAGAGTGAGGGCTTACGGCAAGTTGTCGTCGCCCTTTAATATCTCCAGCGGCGTGAGACAAGGATGCCCGCTGTCACCTTTCCTCTTCAACTTCGCTGTTGACGAAGTCATGGAAATCGCGTTTACAGGACACGGCTTAGAAGGTGTGGAGCTACTCCCAGGAGAACGACTTCTTGATTTAGAGTATGCTGATGATATTGCCCTGATCTGTGACAGCTCACAAACGTGCCAAGCTGCACTGGACAGATTAGCACTAGCTGTCCGTCACTTCGGGCTTTGCTTCGCACACTCGAAGTGCAAAGCGTTTCTCCAAGATTGGCAGGGATCACCTCCTACGCTGACCCTTGGTGGGGATCAGCTAGAAGTCGTTCAAAAATTCAACTACCTGGGAAGTTGTATCAGCGCCCGTGGGATTGAAGATGAAATCACGAATCGTATAGCAAAAGCGCCCCGAGCTTTTGCTAACCTTCGCCACTTATGGCGCCGGCGCGACATCACTCTTGCCCTGAAGGGTAGAGTGTACAATGCAGCAGTACGTTCGACCCTACTGTACGGTTGTGAAACCTGGCCGCTTAAAGCAGCGGACCTGAAGAGGCTAGTTACGTTCGACCACCGGTGCCTTCGTAATTTAGCTCACATTTGGTGGGAACACCGCGTGAGCAACGAGCGTGTTCGACGCCTTGTTTATGGCAAAGGAAAAGGAAATGAACGCTCAGCACCGTTATTTCACGCATCAGGCTCCGATGGCTCGGCCACGTGTTACGCATGCCAGCCCACCGACTTCCGCGATGTGTGTTGTTTGCGCGCCGGGGGTGTGGATGGAAGAAGAGGAGGGGTGGCCAAGCGATGACTTGGTCCAGAGGAATGAAGACCCTCACTTCTGAGCTGGCCTCGGTTGGAGCGTCTCGGCTCCCTGGTTGGGGTCCGAAAGACGATGAACACGTTTGGTTGGACACACTTGCTGATATGGCAAGGAGCCGACCTCAGTGGCGTTCGTGCTGTGAGTTTCTTTGTCCCACCCCATCCCCCTTAGCCTCCCCCTCCAACCACGATCTCATTACTTAGCCTTATATAATTTTGCATAATAATTTTTTTTGGGTGCACAGCAGCCGGCTGGTAGCTTACCGGAACGATGCCCATCCGTTACCGGTAGCTCAGCCAACTTGCACCAGTTTCTTTTTTTCTCCTTTTTTCTGTGTATTGCGGCACAGTAGCTGAGGTGTTCCCCACCTCTAGCTAACATGTATGATGATGATGATGATGATAAATTTGTTTCCAGGTACCAATCGGCATCTGCTGTCCTCGCAATATATTTACCATTTCCTCGTCCCTACCTCCCCATCATGGGTGACACGGTCTACGCTTCAGAGGAGGATACTATCTCAAAGGTTTATCACCTTTCTTCAAAGCCCTAAACTTTTGTAGCGGCAGTCCGACATTTACTCGTGGATAAAGAATAAAATTGAAAATGAAGGAGTCCAGGCCAGAAACATAATCAAGTATAATGTTCCGGTCGATGCCGGTGATGGTCGTAAGTGCACGATAGAGTAATTTAGCTTATCCTTATTCCTGAGCTAGCAATCTCGGTGCAGTCTTTGTTGACTTGACGATCGTTTACAATCATTGCAATCATTAGTATCCATGTCATGTTAACAGCTTCTATTTTCTTTTCCCCATTCTGTGTGACATTTGTTGATTCCCATAAACTGACCGCCACTTTTTGCTTTTTCGCATCCCCATCCATTTTATCCCTACTCGTTCTCTTCACTGCTTTTCATTCGGTGCCGCAAGAACACTTTCAAATCTCTCTAGCTTGCATTCGAGCCAGCATGCGTATCTCTATGTGAAAGGAATTCGCTAATATTTCGTCCAAATAACAAGAAAAAAGGTCATGCTATTTATATCTCTTATTCTTACCCTTCTGACCCGTTGCCTTAAGGATTCCAAGCGTGACTTGTAATCCGAGTGCGCGGGTTCGGGCATGCATATTGACGGGGCGACCCTCGCAGTGTCCTTAGCCCACGTGCGACTGGTAGTGGTTATGCGGTAGCGAAGCATCGGTACTGAATACCGGCGCACTGCTGATGCCTTATGTTCACACTCGCTAGTAGACCTTGTACCGGCTTCAGCTGAACCTTATCAACCGTGCCTATGTAAATCCAGTGAGCTTAGACAATCATGTAGAATAACTAACAACAGCAAGTCGAAGATTAATCTCCCAACTTGTAACTCGTGCCTTATGTCACAAACTTTTAATCGCATGACAACTTTCTGGCCTGGAGGTCCAACTGAGAAATGAGCTTAGGCTGAAGCCAAGGTGTCTTCCGGTCGTTTCGGCCTACAATCTACTGCTTGCAACTCGGACGCTTTCAAAGATGATTTTTACTAGCAGCTGTCTTCTATACTTCTAATGCCTATAAGTATGTGTCGTGCTCCATGGGGGTGGCATGAATGCGCAGTCTAGTTGTCCGCCCAAACCCGCATATCGCTTTGGAGGCCTTCCGGGTCGATGCATGTGTTAAAGACGATAGTGGCCGGTGTTGTTCCTCCCGACACGAACACTCTAACTTTAGGAGCAGCAACACCTAAACACCTCTAATTCGGTTACGGTCGCTGTGGTCGGAATGACCGAAGTTTACTTCAAAGTGGAGCGAGGTCTCAATAGAGATTGCGTGTCTCAATCCAGCCATACGGCGCGTACTTTAAATTCAACGATGATGGCCGCTTTCTTCAACCTTGTGTCGATCACACAGCACAGGCGTTCATGTCGAATTTTATGGCAGCCACAGAACGGCGAGTTAACATGTAATTAAATCGACCGCGTCGCCGTCAGCCGTAAGTGACGGATGTCGTTCGATCTAAAGCACTTGTCTTGATTTTGTCTTGGCTTTAATGAATGCGCACCTTACACTCACTATCCCAGCCTCGTTTAAGTGCCTACCTTCGACGGTGGTTCCTGGTAAACTGTACTCTTAATCAATGAAGCAACGGTAACAGATGAACGAGGTAGGCGATACGAATACGGACTGGAATCGACTCTACTGCACAATGCAGAGAGCTGTTGAAATCGCTTACTCTCCCAGCCAGACGTGTCAAAGTAGTTACTGGATATATGAAACCCTGAGTAACTTACTAGAGACGAGAGATGACTACCAGGATATCGGTTTTAAAATGTCCGCAATATTCTGGAATGTCACCTGACTAAGAGTCTGCAAATTAGCCGGGAGTGTTTGTGGATGGCAAGGGCCCGTGGTATGAAGGTTAGCCCCACTTATAATATGTAAGTTCTGTTCTAGCCTGATCGAGGTATAGGTTCAAGAATGATCCTCCCGTCAGTGAAACATTAGCTAGAACAATGGGCAACAAATCCCCTTTTAAGCATATCGAACCTACTTCGGACGTTCATCTAACTTATCCCACTATCGACGAGCCCCGACACGAGCTAATGCTGCCTAGGCGACACAACTTACCTGGCATTGGTTTGCGAGACTCCGCGAATCTGAACTGAATGACCGCACTGAAGATGTTGCCTCGTTTGGTAATGAAACGTTTGCAACAGAAATGCCCGGCTCGGAGAACAGGACTCCTCTCATCCACATCCCGAGCTGCGGGTACTCTCAATATTTTCTAGACGATTTTGCATCATTGTCCTCACTCATTATCTTGCACGTTGGATAGAGGTGGGAAACACCCCAGGCATGGTGTTGCCATCTTATCCAATTGGGTGACTTGAAATGACAAACTAAGGAAATAATTAGGTTGAACTAGTCGTATGCTTTGATTTTATTGTGCACCCAGAATGCGTTCATTTTTGAAGGGAGGTGCATGGACAAAGAAACAAACACCATTGAAATCGTTTCTTGGCCTTGTCACCGAATTTCTTGCCAAACGTTCTCATCCTATCTGGGACGACAACCATATAGTCGACAGGTATCGATCGGGACCAAGTTCGAATTGTAAGTCTATATTCCTCTCGACCAAATCATCAGTTGGTTAAAGAACGATGGTCTTTCGCCATTGAGCACATTGATTTCTCCACTCGACGCCACTTAGTATAAAGAGAAAGCACGCTTTGTTTGGCAGTTCCCTGAACACGCGAGCATCAGCAGTACACTGGTACTTCGTACTGACGCTTCCGCACACCATAACCACCAGGTAGGGGTACTGAGAGATTGCTCGCACCTACAGATTTGAACCGGTGACCTGTGGACTACAGTGCATACGCCTTATTTTACTGAACCACCTGTCACATCTTTCAAAAGCACTAAATGGCATCCTGCGAAAGTCATCGCGACATCAGTCTGATCTCAGTAGCTTCCAAACTTCTAACGCATCATCCTGAGGGGACTTAGATCCTCAGGAGTAACGTATCAGTGGAAGTGAGACCGGGCTTCCATCCTTCACGGAACGCACGGACTACTGTTCTGCTCTCCTACAGGTACTTGAAGGTAACTTTCTAACCAGCGACCTATCATGCCAACCATGCTTGCTCGAACAATCCGTGTGATTCCGCTGCTCGCACTTGTTTGTGGTGATATCCATCTCTGAAATGCTTACCGCATCGCTTTCGGTGGCTAGTGCATGCGCTCCGCGTGCGCACGACCCAGCTACCTTGACCTGTATTGTTTACTAACACTGTCTCCAGTTGAGTGAAACACTGGTGACCAGTTACTGCCACTGCTAAAAGCCTGAGGTAACTCACCGAAAGGCTGAGCTTGACAGGGTCCTCGGTATCGGTCACATCGGTGTCTGGATACCTCATCGGATAAGGCGCCGTGGCGAAGTCAATGGTGCTACTGTAATCTCTCACTTCTCATGCCTGACGATCTAAACTCTTATTCCTTTCTCTCCAGTTACTGTTATTATAGCCATTATTTTGACGACGTGTATCAAGAAGGCAGCGTCTACTGCGTCTCGGTTCACAGATCAGTTAACAAACTGAACTGAATTGTCTTACATTCTTACAATTTCTACCTATTAATTTGATCCACTTTCAGATTTTGCTACTAAATGATTTTCTAGTCCCTTTCTTCTTTTGTTACTTCTAATACTATTGAAGTATATCCACAAGATCGTGCGGTTGTTGTTGGCGACCCATCATGAAATGATTCTATACTTTGTCTGTCTACTCGACTGAACTTAGACTTATCGACAAGCTTGTATCGGCTTATAGCGCACCACAGTCGTCCATTTTCGAAGGTCAGACACGATCATATACCATTTCAATTTTTCTGATGTCAACGATCACCATCGAGCGATTGCAACGATATATGATGTACTATTTTCACGTAGCTGCTTCAACTTTTCTTTCGGGCACTTTAGACCTCGCGCTTACCCATTAGCCTCAAAACTCTGTGGTGCAGTGGTATATATTTCTACGTCTTGCAACTTTATATGACTCCATTGGAGTGCAGTTGCATCAGAAGGCCGTTTTATTCATTTGTCGGCCACTGATCTGTTAGTGGTATCTGAGCCGACATATTTACTCCGTCATCGCACCAGGCTCCCACCTCAGTAAGGTCGCGTTACTGCTACCTGCGGTTGGGCGGAGTACTGTGGCAAACTGCTTCTGATGTCTAACTTATTGCTATTCTATCTATTTCTCACGACGGTATGGTAATTGTACTGATCAGAGAGAGACCTGGCCACTTTGCACTGAAGGCATTAAACGATCAGTCTTTTTTGATTAACAGTGTTTGCAGAGTATTACTTAGGTCTGGCGGTAGCACAGGATGAGCAGTGCTGAGACCTGCTAGCTGCTGTTTAACAAGAACCCCGCTGTTAAAGGTAACTTTTCACGTGGATTACTTCACGTTCTCCATAGACCCGTTGACCGGCTTCCTCAACCTGCGTTATCTACTGTCACTTCACTTAATTGGGCCAACACTCGAAGCGTCCTGTTGATGACGTGGCATAAAAGCACGAAAATTGACTGAGATTTTGTTAAGGCTGGTGCGTGCCGTGGATGAGGGCCTCAGGATAAGCCACATCAGGGGTTGACGACCCTGTTATTGGCGCTTCCGTATTCGGGTTCTTGCATCTACCTGTTAATGTTCATTACATCCCGATTAATTTTGTACGCTTTTATCTTAATTTTTAATATTATGTTTGTGTTTACCTCATTACGTCACCATTGCAATTTCTTGTTATCCCGGCCACGAGAGTCTCGGCAACTGGATCCACCACACTTCCATGAAGACATCAGCAATACGCTGGCACACCATACCAACGCTTTGTTACCACACGATCATCACCAAGCACGCGGGGTTAGGTACAATGCTGTTGCCCACATCTACGCGGATTCGGACCGGTGATCTATGGATTATAATGCAGGTGTGCAATCATTTCGGCCACTGACCGCACTTCGAAACCAGGATCATAGTTCTTTAATTAAACTGAATTGGTCCGTTTCTCGCACTGCTCTCCGGGTCCTCATCACTTCCTATTTCGTGCTCCCAGTCTAGTGACAGTAGAAACCGATCCATCAGACCCTAACCATCTGCACTCAGGGCACCACGGTAATCAGCAGCTTCCGGCTAGACTGCTTCTTTTCCTTGGTCATTTTAAACATTGTGCCGTGAGCAAGGTGGAGTGGCGGGTTTTGCTCACCTGCACATTGGATGCTCTTGATGGTGACGTATGTCAGGCCTCCCAGACAGAATTATATGTTTCTCTCACAATTACCGACGCTAAACTCGTCCTGTTGCTATTGTTTGTACGCGTCCGGTAATGCGCCTGGGTTGAGCTGCACTACTGAGTCGGTGGAAAGTCACCGATCCATTCATCTCTTAACTTTGTAGGCACAAAAGTTTGTTCAAGAAAACGCTGACGAAGGGACTCTGAAAACTGTCGGTGTATTCTGACCTTTTCATCAGCGGTGGTGGATACGTGGCCTCTGAAGTAAATTCACTTCTTTTAAGACTAGAACTGTCTGCAAAATTGCTACGTCTTCACTATTAAGTGAGACATTTCTTTGATCTTAAAATCTGTACACATCGGACACAGTGAAGGCTGTTCTACGGTAGGGTGACTTGGCCTCTTCAATTACTACTCACGGCTTATCAGATATACCTTCGCTTTGTTTGCCCCATTCGAAGTGGTGTTAGGTTCATGGTTTGGAAATCGTATGCATGTCAGTGTAAACTGAATTCACTAACCACTAGACTGTGTTCTGTTTGTTGACACTTATTTTTGATCTGCGGTCCATGCAACCACCTTTCTCTCTTGTGCTTGGTTTGAGGCATTATAGGACTAAACCAGCGGTAAAGACCGTCAGTTTGTTTGTGTCTCTCTCCTACCCGAATTGCCTTCATTGTGTTGTCTGTGTAGTTTGTCATGACCTAAGGTCATACCGCCTCATCTTCGCATGAAGTGCATTGTTTGTACTTCTGGTACCGTTCAAGCCACTTGAGCTCGAATGTTTTAGTTCGTTCACTAGCTTTCCGTTCAATCATTCTCGTATTCATTACTATGGGTTTTCTCTCAGACCTTGTTGTGTAGCAGCTGATTTTCGGTACACAATGCTTACATACTGTTTTTATCTATAGTGATGCGTTTCGGTAGTCCCAGTTTTCATACTCCTCCCACTCTTGTCTTGCTTTTTTTAGCCAAGCGAGTTCCTACAATGGCTACGCGTTCTGATGTATTGCAGCTCTGTCCGGCTATTCATGGCTCGCGTCACACATCTGGTTGTGGCGTTTCTGAGCAAACTGAATGGTCACGCGCCACCAGTCCGCAAAGTGCACAAACACCACGCTCATCTGTTGGTAGCCATTCATTCGATCGTTGTGTATCAATCCGGAGTGTTAACACGATTAGTTCAACGCCTTCTAGTTGCTCTTCCGCTAAACCACATAGGCGCTTCAACGCAGCTCCCAGCACGTTAGTCTCGTCTGCAGCCAGAAATGCTCGTCAGACGGAAAACGAATACCGTGCCAGGTACTGGGGACAGATGCTGGACACATTGCGCAGAACCATCGATGAAATTTATTCCGCTTGTGAAACTGATGAGAGCGAAATGGAATGCAAAGTACGCCATCGTTGCTTTTCATTGCTTTCTTGTTTCTTTACTAATCTACTTTTGTCACTGGCGCAGTACCCGTTATTTGGGATTAGTGCTTAAGATTTTGAGAACTACCTTCAATGACTTACTGCGCACTGGAATGCTGGCGTTTTATCTGTATACAGTAACTGCGATGAATCAAACCACATCCTGTCGTTTAGTTCAGCGACGATCCGTAGCCTTAAGGAGCACAAGCCTGACTTGTAATCCGAGGGCGCAGCTTGGAGCCTGCGTATGGACCGGGAAATCCTCGTACTATCAGTAGCCTGCATGCGACGGGGGGTGGTTGCACGACAGCCAAACGTCGGTACTGCGTACCGACGTATTGCCGATGCCTTTCTTTCCTTCTTTCTGTCGTTCAGTGCTACTCTAATTTTCATTTCTTTGGCTATTATTAACTATTCTGGTTTCCGCCCAGGGTGATTACTTGTCTCCATGTAATTGAACCATTTACGTTTAACTTACGACTAATGCCTGTTGCAGTTCTGTGAACCTTTTCATCAGTGTGTACGAGCAGAGCTGAGCTGACTTATTCTCATAGAACGGTGACCACCACATTCTGCCCATTGAGATGCACCATACACACACCGGTAAGCAGCTGGCCATGTTTTGCTTTGCTAGGTTGCCTTGACACTTGTTTGGGAGCATGCCTTATACCAGGTCCTCTATTTTTTGGACTTCTACTACCAAGACCTTTGTGTGCGGCATCGTGTTGTCAATTCAGCGTTGTTGTTGTTCTTCTTCTTTTCCTTCTTCACTGTTAAGAGTGCATCATCATCACCCTGCACATTAGCTAGGTGTGAGAAACCTCCGCTCTTGTTCCGCAATATGAATCAAGTCGGTGGTAGTAAAAACAAGCAACAAGGCAAAACAAACAATTGTTATGCTCCTCTTCTTTCTTGTTCTTCTTCTTTTTATGCTCATGGGTGTAACACTCAGCATCACTTGCCATCTTTTCCTAATTTTTGTCGGTCTGACTAATGGATGTAGTCGTGCTTTGCTGGAAATTCTTCACAGCCCATTCTGAACTTTTGCGGTTTAACAGACTGCAAGCTAGAGCTTACGATCAAATCTTCACACTCCGCCACCTGTACCAAAAACCGACCATTGTCCTGTTCTTGGATATCTGCGCTGCCTTCGATTCTGTCGACAGGTCTGCATTGTAGCGCTATTTGTTGAGAAATGGCGTCCCCGGAAAGTTCGTTTCTGTACTGCGCAGCAGTACAAATCCTCATGTGGTATGTCTAATAGCCAACATGAATATTGGGTCTCTTCCCGGTCTCTGGAACTTATCGACGCTCGCCGGCATATTCCGGCTGGAAGCGAACACAATGAAACTCGCAAAGAGCTCCGGGCAAGACTCCGTGCCAGCCTGAAGAGTGACCGCGAATCTTGGTGGTCTCATCGTGTGTCAGAGATGGAAGTGGCCGCTGCCCTTGTCTACCATCGTAAGTTATTCCATCTGATACAGGAAACGGGCAGCAGGAGACCTGGTGTTAATGAAACTATACGTGACGAGCTTGGACAGCCTATCCACAATTTGTCAAAACCTTTGGAGCGTTGGGCCGAGCATTTTGGAAAACAATTTCATCGACTAGAATTGTTCGATTCTTCGCATGCCATTGATCGCCCTGCTCCGTGGACTGTCCCTTTGGATCCATCCTCTCGCTCAGAAGTCTAACGTGAGATCGGATTGTTGAAGTTGAACAAAACCGCGGGACCAGATGATCTTCCTCCAGCCCTCTTCAAATTCGGAGGCTCTACTCTTGTTGATGCTTTATATGAATTACTAGCGCAACTGTAGGAGCAGGAGACTGCCCCAACCGACTGGAGCCGCTCCGTTATTGTCCTAATCTTCAAAGGAGGCTCGCGTTCGGAATGCGGCAACCATAGAGGAATCAGTCTGATCTTCATCGCATCCAAATTGCTTGCCTCTGTCATCCTTCACAGACTGACTGACACTCGTGAAAACCAGATTCGTGAAGAGCAAGCTGGATTTCGTCGAGGTCGTGGCTGCATTGACCACATCTTCACCTTGCGTCAGTTGGAGCACCGTCACACATATTGGCGGCCCACTGTAGTCGTGTTCCTCGACATCAAAGATGCCTTCGATTCGGTTGATCGATGTGCCCTTTGGAATTGTCTACTCAGGAAAGTTGTGCCCGAGAAATATGTAAATACTATCCAAGCATTATATGCGCGTAGCTCGGGCAGAGTGAGGGCTTACGACAAGCTGTAGCCACCCTCCAATATCTCCAGCGGTGTGAGACAAGGATGCCGACTGTCGCCTTTCCTCTTCAACTTCACTATTGACGAAGTTATGGAGATTGCATTTACAGGACATGACTTGGAAGGTGTGGCGCTACTCCCAGGAGAACGACTTCTTGACTTGGAGTATGCAGACGACATTGCCCTCATCTGTGACAGCTCCCAGATGTGCCAAGCGGCGCTGGACAGATTAGCACTGGCTGTCAGCCGCTTTGGGCTTTGCTTTGCACCATCGAAATGCAAAGCGTTTCTCCATGATTGGCAGGAATCGCCTCCTGCGCTGACCCTTGGTGGCGATCAGCTAGAAGTCGTTCGGAATTTCAACTACCTGGGAAGTTGTATCAGCGCCCTTGGGATCGAAGACGAGATCACGAACCGTATAGCAAAAGCTCGAAGTACTTTTGCTAATCTTCGCCACCTATGGCGGCGGCGCGACATTACTCTCGCCGTGAAGGGTAGAGTATACAATGCAGCGGTACGTTCGACCCTGCTGTGCGATTGCGAAACCTGGCCCCTAAGATCGGCGGACCTAAAGAGGCTAGTTACGTTCGACCATCGGTGCCTTCGCAGTTTGGCTCACATCTGGTGGGAACACCGCGTGAGTAACGAGCGTGTTCAACGCCTTGTTTATGGCACAGGAAAAGGAACTGAACCGCTCAGCACCGTTATTTCACGCACCAGGCTCCGATGGCTCGGCCACGTGTTGCGCATGCCAGCCCACCGGCTTCCACGACGTGCGTTGTTTGCTCACCGGGGTTGTGGGTGGAAGAAGAGGAGGGGTGGCCAAGCGATGACTTGGTCCAGAGGAATGAAGGTCCTCACTTCGGAGCTGGCCTCAGTTGGAACGTCACAGCTCCCTGGTTGGGGTCCAAAAGACGGTGAACACGTTTGGCTGGATACACTTGCTGACATGGCAAGGAGCCGACCTCAGTGGCGTTCCTGCTGTGAGTTTCTTTGTCCCTCCCCATCCCTTTTAGCCTCCCCCCTCCACCTACGATCTCATTTCTTGGCGTAAAGCAATAATTTTTCTTTTTGCCTAGTAACCAGCTGGTAGCTTACCGAAACGATGCCTATCCGTTGCTGGTAACCCAGCTGGCATGCAACTGTTGTGTTTATTTTCCTTTTCCTTTATGTATTGCGCCACAGTAGCTGGGCTGTTTCCCACCTCTAGCTGACGTGTATAATGATGAATGATGCTGACTGCGTGCTATGTACGGTCTGACCACGGGTAGAGTTAGGGCTTATGGCAAGCTTTCGCCTTCCTTTGTTGTCACCATTGGAGTTCTACACGGATGCCCTATTTCCCCATTCCTTTTCAATTTTGCCATTGAGGATGTCCTAACGAATGCTCTGGATAATCCGTTGAGTGCTGGCGTTGAGCTTTTGCCAGGTAGCCGCGTTGTTGACTTTGACTATGTTGATGGTATCTTCTTGCTGGGTAACGGTCCACAAGCCGTCCAACTTGCAGTCAACCGCTTGGCGACTGAAACGTCAAAGTATGGGATAGTTTTTTCTCCATCCAATTGCAAAGCTCTTTTCCAATACTTTCAGATGCCTGTACTTGCACTCACTCTTGTTGATGAGACACTGGAGGTTACGGAGTTTTGCCTACCTGGGAAGTTGCATCACAGCCGGTGGAGCTGTTGGAGACGCGATTTCGGTACGTATCTCAAGACCTCGCCACGCTTTCGCTAAGCTGAGGCACTTGTGGCGCCGCCATGACATCCGTCTATCCATCAAAGGGCGGGTTTATTGTGTTAATGTCCGCGTCATACTGTTCTACGGCTACGAGACTTGGCCTGTTCGTACTTTTGACCTGCGCCGTCTCTCTGTCTTTGACCACCGTTGCTTGCCGTCCATTAACCTTGTGTGGTGGCTGCACCACGTAACCAACGTGAAAGTTAGACAGGGTGTCTTGGGTGGAGGCTGCCACTCGCTTGAGGAGCTCGTTCCACTACGTCATCTGCAGTGGCTTGGACACGTACTACGCATGTCCGTCATCGTCTTCCGTGTCGGGCGTTGTTCGCGGTTGCTGGACAAGACGAGGAGGTGGACAACGTACGACATAAAGAAGCCACATAAAAAAGCTGATGAAACAGTTGGCCTCCGTCGGTTGTTCTCGACTCCCTGGTTGGGATTTCAGAGATGCAGTGTCGCTCGTTGGAGACCCTAGAACTCATGGCTCATGACTGACGTCAATCGGGGACATGTGTCTCTGCGTGTTGCGATGATTTCCCTTCCCTTCTTAACTAAAACAAACAATAAAAGTTCTCAAAAACTGTGGGTGAAAATCCACTGAAAAATGCTGCATCTTCTTTTTCTTCCTATTCATATCCTGTTTTCTTCTTCCGGTTTCGGATTTGCCTGTCACCGTGGCCTCCATAGGACCACCACAGGACGCCTGCGCCTACAGAGGGAGGAGAGTGGCTTTCGCTGCACCACCCACAGCTCCATCCACGTACCCCATATCCAGTGCAAATCCGAAGGAATAAGACTGGGAGGCATGTGAATGGGAGCCACGTTTCATCAACGGAGCCGACCCACACTCCTTCACAGGCAAACACAAGCACACTGTATTTGGGGGAATTAAGCCTACATAGGGCGGTGGTTAGGCCGTAGCCTCCACACACAAACCATGTGCGTGAAACCTAGCACGGACACAAGGACCGTGCATTCCGTTCCGTTCAGCAACGACCGTC